TATTACAACATATCACAAATTTCACATCCAGTGCTCAAATCCTACAACATATCACAAATTTCATGTCAAGTGCTCAAATATTACAACATATCATAAATTTCACATCCAGTGCTCAAATCCTACAACATATCACAAATTTCATGTCAAGTGCTCAAATATTACAACCTATCACAAATTGCACATCAGGTGCCCAAATATTACAACTTGTCACATGAATCAACAATACATTATTTTTCCACAATAAGAAGCCCACGGCTCGGTCATAAAGCGCACAAAAATTTTAACAAAATATCTGGGAGTGAAAACTCAACAAAATAATATTTTACAATTTAACACTTCGCCTCAATATGATTTACAGCCTTTATAACTCAATATCAAATTCAACAACATGAACTGAAAAGAAATTCATCAAGGGACCACTTTTTGTTTTAATTCACAACCTCATGAAATAAATAGATTTATCCATCTTATTAACTAAATTTCTCATTTAAATTGTATGTAGATAAAATCAATAATGAAAATTATTTTCATAAAAATAGCAACTCAAACAAACACAGAGTTCACATAAAAGTCAAGTAGCAATAGCACCAAATTATCATATAAAAATAATCTAGACAAATAAGGAATGAGGCATGACAATTAAGAGATTTAATAAGTTCCAACAATTTTTCAATTTAATATATAAGGTTGTCTACGAGTTTTAACCGATATAATTTGCACATATAAACCAAGTACGTACTAATCGCCTCGCGTACATGGTTTTCAATCACACAATTTCCACATAAGACTCAATGCCTAAGGGGAAATTCCCCCACACAAGGTTAAGCAAAATACTTACCTCAAATCACGCTATCTCAATCCAATAATTGACATTTTTCCTCGATTATCCAACTCTGAATGGTTCGAATCTTGCTAAAAATAATTCAATACAATCAACACAGATTATTGAAATCAATCCCATGTGAAAATACCAAATTTTCCAATAAAATCCGAAATTAGATAAAAAATCGCCCGTGGGGCCCACATTTCGGAATCCGACGAAAGTTACAAAATATGAACGCCCATTCAACCATAAGTCTAACCATACCAAAATTACTATATTCCAACAACAAATCGACCTCCAAATCTTAAATCTAAGGTATAGAGAATTTCTACCATTTCCAACCCAATTCACTAATTTCATGATAAAAACAACAATAGATTCATGTATTTTAACCAAAATCGAGTTAGAATCACTTACCCCAATCCATATGGTGAAAATCGCCTCAAAAAACGCTTCAATCCGAGCTCCATAGCTCCAAATGTGTTAAAATGGCTGAAACTCGCGTTTTGTAATCTGTCCAGGTAAGTCGCAGGTGTCGAATACGATTTATAAATCCCATTGGGTAACCGCGATTTGCCTTTGCCCCAGAATACAGCATTACCTGCCTTCAGTAAATCCATCATAACCTTTTGTACAAATGTCCAAATGATGAATGGTTTGAAGCGTTAGAAACTAGACTCAAAGATATTTAATTTGATAGGTTGTTCATCACATAACACCTTATATATATATGTAGATATGCTCGTCCAAAGTGTGATCTTGTGCGTGCTAATTTAGAATTTTAGTCTATCTTGAAATTTTCCAACTTGGCTTAGACTTAGGCTTCTCCTTAGACCCCAAATCACTTATAATATACTTCGCACACTTATTATCATATCCAATTGATATCCATCATATTAATAGTCCGTCTTTGCGCATAAAATAATATAATTAGCGCACATCAACTTTCTTAAGAGCTTAAGTACTTCAAAAATTTTCTAGGGTGTTACATTTTTCCCCACTTAGGATCATTCGTCCTCGAATGAGAAGTAGAGTCGACCCCAATTATGCACATAGCTTCACACTTTTCTCACACACCTCAAGTTCCCAAACTTTTGACTAACTCTCAAATTTTCTAGAAATTTCGACAGAGTCTCCCCTGTAATTGGGTCTATCCACCTGTCAGAGTAACACCAAAATAACTCCTAACAATACATCCACAGCCCAAATCAATAATACTAATCTCAGCATTACAAGAATTGCATCATCATAATGATATTTGAACATAAAACACATCATATACATGTCCATAACTACATCTCTGGTCTTAATAATTATCCATAATTGATTACAACATCACAAATTAACTTGCTGAAACAAAATCTCGTTTCGAACCTCCACTTTACTGACAACAAGGCACGAGGCATGAATACCTCATAATTATTTACCTGAATTAACGAGTCACATTTTACGCCACTTGGCACTCACCTCATAGGCTGAAACTAATTAATTGCAATACAATTTGGCAAATTATGCACAAAGATATTCATACAAGAATTTTCAAATAAGCCTCATAGGAATGTCTCCCAATAAGTACTATATTACAAATTTTAATTTCACAAAGGGATAATTTAAACACAAACTTTTCACCACAAGGACCTCGTCCTTATATAACATCCACCGCAGCTGGGAGCCCGATTTAATATTTTACATCATATAAAAGTACGAGGATTTCGTCCTCAACTCCGTACACAGGTAATATGCACATTGTGCCAACTGAAACTTTCCATTTCCTTCCTTTCTTCTTCTAAATAATTTCCGTTAAACAAAATCACAACATATAAAGAATCCTCATATCGATAGGGAATATAATGCACAATTGCAATTAATTATTTAGAAATTACATCAAACTCATCGAAATGATTAACAAAAGTTACTTTTAGCCTCAACACTATTCTTAGTGACCAACACATAATGATGAACATAGCTATCTCCATAACATCTCCCAACACGAGTATTCATATAAGTAGATTTTAGGATTAAGAAACTCACTCATGAGTGGAGAATATTAGGAGGATTTGCCTTGCTACTCAGAACCGAATCAAGTTAATGAAATTGTTACTTTGTAATAACTCGAGATCGTATTTGTAATGGCAGTATCTGGTGTAGCGACCTCTGCCATACCATAGCAAATATATCAATGGGATGGGCCCCCACCTCTTAGGTGCCCTCTACCTGCTTATCCTCCACCCTTAACTGATAGTGTAGGTAGAGTAGTAATTGTAATGGAGTACGTGGCCTGTGTGTTCTGATGAAATAGGTTTCTCACAAGTCTCGTATATTTTCTCATGATGTGCCTAGCATCACCACACTCAAAACAACCCACTTGCGGTTCAGCTTCTCATACTGAGTCTATGTCGAATAACTGAATTACTATTGTAGGAAATCCCGTGTCAGCGGTGCATTAAAAGATGACTGTCCCACATGAGTGTCCTGATTAATTGGAGCACAACGAGTATTCGAAAATGCAGTCTCGGCTGGTCGACCGCCCAAGCCTCCGCCATAATGTGTTATAACTGCAAAGAAGAATCTGCCGAATTCTACAGAACCTCGAGACCTTTTGGTCTCCTTAGTTTCCTACTTTTTTCCTCGCCCCGAATACGTTCTAGCATCTTAGCAAATTTGTTTTTACCACTAGTCAAAATAAAGTATTTGCCTGTAGTTCCCGAGTCATGCAAAATTGTTGATTTCTTTGGCAAGTTGTGATATTTGAGCACTTTAGGTGCGATTTGTGAAATGTTATGATACTGATACGCATACGGTGGTATAAGAGTTGGGGTTGAAACGCATGTGGTGAGATAAAGCAGGCATGATACGCATGGCTAGTAGGGGAGCGACTAAAAGTCATGCGGTGCGATAAGGTGGGCTAAAACACGGGATACTATTTCGGAAAAATGATTTTTTTTTAAAAAAAAAACTAAATGTAAAGGCTCCTGCGGTGATATAAAAAATAATTGTGATTTATTTTTGTGATTTGAGACTGCGAGACGGTACCTCGATAGTGACTCTTGTTGGCATTTCTCCATTTTTGCACCTATCCTTGGTTGTTGTTTCCTTAGTATATTATTAATTATTTTCTTTGTACTGCAATAAATTGCTTTAGTTTCGTGTAGCCAACCTTGAAATGCCATTTGTTGTTTAAATTTTATTACTGGTATTATTACGATGCATTACACTTGTTCAGTCTTTTTATTTATTCTAGTAAGGCCTTGACCCGACTTTGTCACTACTCTATGGAGTTTAGGCTTGTCACTTATTGGGTACCGTTGTGGTGTACTCATGTTACGCTTCTGTAAATCTTTTTGTGCAGATCCAGGTACTTCCTACCAGACCAGGCATTAGTGACCTAAGTCCGTACGTGGAGACTTCAAGGTATATCTGTCGACGTCTGCAGGCCTTGGAGTCCCTTTCTACCTAGATTATTTTTATTTCCTTATCCTTTATTAGACTTTTGTGTATAGAGATGTTCAGTATCACTTCATAGAGCTTGTGACTTATATTTCGCCGGGTTTTAGGCAAATTGCATATGTACTGAGTTATGAAGATTTTTCCTTATATCAGTTGTTGAGTTTCGAGTTTTTAATTATTATTTCAGTTATTTTCGCATATTTGTTAGGCTTACCTAGTCTTAGAGACTAGGTGCAGTCACAATATCCTACGTAGGGAAATTTGGGTCGTGTCAAATATCATGTTATGGCTTTAGGATAGTGTATTATATAGTTCATTGTAAAAATGATAATTTCGTGCCAAACTTATCTACGTTCAAGACCATGGTTTGTGATAATAATAATAATAATAATAATGCATGGCATCGATCAAGGTTATATATGATTAGCACGTTTGTTTGTTTGGTATTTTTGATAGATTTTAGAACTTATGGGTATAAGTCACATTTAATGTTTTTTTTAAAAAATAAAATATGTTTTGAAAAATTATATCCAAACAAATTTTTATCTTCAAACCAAATTTCACCTATATCAGATTTTTTTAAAATAAATTTGAAAATATATGACCAACAGCTGGTTAAATAATGGCCCGACTATATCCCACCGTCACAAAGTTTTAGCTCCAATCACTTGAAAAGAAATGAACCTATTTTGTGACTAAATTCATATCTCTTTTTTGGTCATTTCCTCAAACTCTTCTTCCCCCAACTAAAATCTTACATACAATGAAGGCATGACTGAACTTAAGCCAAAAGCCCATCTAGTTTCTAATGATTCCAACTCCATAATGGGGAAGTTTGATTTTGTGCTCTTTAGAATTAAAGAGAAAAGCGCATGAATGAAGGAGTCATAAACAAGAAAAGGATAGCTCAGTTTTGGGAAAAAGAAGATTCCTTTACTGTGTTTGTATTTGTATGTAGTTTGTAGTATTTGTAAAGTACGAAATTAAATACATAGGAGATTTTTCCGTATCCGCTCCTTCGTTAAAAAACCGAAATAGTAATGATTCCAACTCCATAATGGGGAAGTTTGATTTTGTGCTCTTTAGAATTTAAGGAGAAAAGTACATGAAGGAGCCATAAACAAGAAAAGGATAGCTCAGTCTGGGAAAAAGAAGATTCCTTTACTGTGCCTGTATTTGTAGTATTAGATAAAGGCAACTTCTAATACAAAAGACTTCAACTATTTTGCAAAAAAAAAAGGTTGTTGATCTTCAAATCATATTACTTTCTCATCATGGCTGAAATTCTTTACGGGCTTGCTGCTGAGATCTTGAAAAACTTGGGTTCTCTTGCAGTTCAAGAAGTAGGATCAATTTGGGGACAAAGCGATGAGCTTAGCAAGCTTTCTGGTACAGTTTCTTCAATCCAAGCTGTACTAATTGACGCGGAGGAGCAGCAGCAGAGTAGCCACGAGGTGAGGGATTGGATAAGGAAACTTAAAAGAGTTTTCTTTGAGGCTGATGATCTCTTGGATGACTTTGCCACTGAAGTGACACATCGAAAATTGGTGAGTAATGTAAGCATCTTCTTCTCAAAGTCAAATCCTGTGCTTTATAATCTTAAGATAAGTAAGCGTCTCAAGGCCATTCGAGAAAATCTAGATGTAATTGCAAAAAATAAGGCCTACTTAAACCTTGTTGAAAGGAGGCAACCTTTGCTTCTTGAGTCTAATTTGGATAGAGAGACTTATTCATTTGTGCCTGATGGAGAAGTCATTGGAAGGAATGATGATAGAACGAAAATTCTAGATTTTCTTATGGATTCTGAGGTAAATGAGAATGTTGCAGTTATATCGATTGTTGGCCTTGGTGGACTAGGAAAGACCACTCTCGCGCAATTGGTGTATAATAGTGAAATGGTTCAGGTAAAATTTGAGAAAAGATTGTGGGTTTGTGTTTCAGACGTTTTTGAAGTGAAAGTGATTGCAGAAAAAATCATCGAATCTGCAGGAGGGGGGAAGGCTAATTGCCTTCAACTAGATGCAGTGCAAAAACAACTTCGAGAAATGCTTGATGGGAAGAAATATCTACTGGTGCTCGATGATGTGTGGAACGAAGATGCCTTGAAATGGTCGACATTGAAAAATATGTTGATTGGTGGAGCTAAGGGAAGTAAGATTTTAGTAACTACTCGTTCAGATGTAGTTGCTGAAGTTTCAGGAAGTATTCACCAACATAAATTAGGGGACCTTTCAGAAGAAGAGGCATGGGCATTGTTTGAAAAAATGGCATTTGAGTGTAACAAAGAGAGTGAAAATTCGAGTTTGGTGGAAATAGGAAAGAAAATTGTGAAGAGGTGTGGAGGAGTTCCTCTTGTAATAAGGTCAGTAGGAAGCCTACTACGCCTAAAAAGAACTGAGGATGAATGGATATATTTCATGAATCAAGATTTGTCAAGTATCACACGAGGAGGCGACAGTGTCATGGCCATTTTGAGATTGAGCTACAATCACCTTCCTCACCATCTAAAGATATGCTTCGCATATTGTTCCCTCTTTCCAAAGGATTCCCTAATTGATAGAGTTGATTTGATTGATATGTGGATCGCTCAAGGCTTTATACAATCAACTACTAGCAACAGAGACAATGTGGAGGACATTGCAAATTCATATTTCATTGATTTGTTAAGAAGGTCATTCTTTCAAGAAACTGAAGAAGACAAATCATTTCCGCAGTTTTACGAAATGCACGATCTTATTCATGATCTTGCTAAAGAAGTTGCAGATGGGGAGGTTTTCAGTATCACTGAAACAGAAGATGCAGAGATTGTCCTCCCTGAACAAACTCTCTATGCATCTTGTTTATTCCAGATTAATGGTTCAATGGCATTTCCCAAACCCTCCTATGCGAAGCATATGAAATTGCGGACATTTATTTACCTAAATGGGTCTGAATACGTTTTCATAAGCAATTCAACGTTAGAGAGAATGCTTGCAAGTTTTGAATGTTTACGCGTTCTGGATCTACGTCACGTGCAGATAAAATTTCTGCTTCAATCTTTAGGTGGACTGAAGCATCTAAGATATCTTGCTATTTCCTGTATAAGCATTGTTACTTTACCAAATTCCATCACAAAATTGCATAATCTACAAGTTTTAAAGTTGGTTAATTGCATTAATCTCAAAAAATTGCCAAGAGATATTTGGAGATTGGTGAGCCTTCGACGTTTGGTATGTACGCAGTGCTATGCATTAACCCATATTCCACCAGGACTGTGGCAGTTGTCAAGTGTCACGCATTTGGATTTTGATGATTGCTATTCATTGGAAGATATGCCACCTGGAATTGGCCAATTGACATCTCTACGGACATTGACAAGTTTTGTTGTAGGCAAAGAAAGTTGTATATCTGGTTTGGCAAGTGACAAGTTGAATGAATTAAAGGGCCTTGCTGATCTCAGAAATAGATTACACATTAAGTTCATGGGACGAGCCAGTGTAATTGGAGAAAGAATACCTACCGATGTAGTGAAAAGAATGAAACATCTTCAGGAGCTGTCCGTAGAGTTCGAATATGGAAATCAAGAGGATGATACTGGAGCTGATCTGATAATGTTGGAGGCCCTGCAGCCGCACCAAAACATTGAAAGCTTGAAAATACAATATTATAGTGGATCAAGGTTCCCAAGTTGGTTGATGGTTGATAATCTTGGCTTTTTGCTACCCAAGCTTGTTTATCTAAATATCACGAGTTGTTGTAAATGCCAAAAGCTCCCACCATTATGGCGATTGCCTTCTCTCGAAAATCTTGTACTATGGAATCTTGAAGGTGATGATAAATTCATGCTACCATCAAATTCTCCTACATATGAGTGTTACTTCCCTTCCTTAAAGTATCTTTATTTGGGGGAAATAAGTGAGAAGATATTGAACCAGATTCTTTGCCCACCTCCTGATTCTATCGAGGGCCTAGAAACTATGCCAGAGGATTCGTTCAAGAGTCTCACTTCGCTCCAATCCTTGTCTATTACTCACTGCAGAAATCTGGTCTCTCTATCCACATGTCTCACTCATCTCACTTCCCTTGAGTTTTTATATATAGCGTGTTGCCCTCTACTTTATTTGTCGAACGAAGAAGCAATGCAACTTGAAGTCCCGGGGAATTTATCAACTTTCAATGTTAGCAATCTTGACAAGCTAATGTCGCTACCAGTTTGGCTCCAACATTTCTCGGGTACTTTGAAGTCTATACAGATTCAGGGATGTCATAACTTCACAACAATACCAGAATGGATAGGCGACCTCATTGCCCTTAATCAATTGGAGATTTATGGTTCACCTATGTTGACATCCTTTCCAGAAGGCATGCGATCTCTCACAGCATTGCAAATGCTAATTGTTCATGGATCTTCATCAAGCCTGAAGCAAAGATGCGACAAGGAAGTAGGAGAGGACTGGCCTAAGATTGCTCACATTCCAAGAGTTGACATACTATAAGAGTCTTGGCAACTGGCTGCATGTTGAGGTAATTATCTTTTTACTGCCTGTTTGAGTTGATATTTCTCGTCGTCTCATAATGTGCTGTTTTATACTGTGTATAACATTGTATTGTGTCACGTTGTTGAAGGCTTGAAGCAATGTTTGGATAGAAGGATGAGTTTGCGCAACAAGGCGGGTGAAGGTCAAGGTGCTGAACACCATTTTCTCAAAACCCGGAAAATGAATTGGTTTGTGAAAAGTGAAAATCATGAGATTAAGGAAGGAACTTGGCGTTTCCACTCTGTTCTTGGGAGTTGCCACTTCTGCAGAACTGCTCTGAGGCTTCAATATCCATGATTCTTGATTTTGTGTGTTAGCCATTGAAGGAAAGTGGACACTGCTTTATTTGCTGTATTCTTTGATTTCTCTGTTTGTTTTTACTTCCAAATTGAGTTGAGATAGCTTTGCAACTTCTCAATTAGTTCCCACCTTGATGTTTATAGGGGATAATGTATATGTTTAATTTGGTTTCTGAATAAGTTTGTGTGTAGATCTGATTTTCCTTAAATATGTTGCGGAAGCCAAATGTATATAGTGTGAATAAGCCACAACTACTATACCAAAAATTATGACAGGCACCAAATAATAAATAAGACAATAAAACAATAATAAAGGGAACACCAAAATTTACGAGGTTCGACTAATTTTGCCTACTCCTCGGACACAACCAATATTTTATTCCACTCCAAAAATATAAGTGAAATAATACTAAAGAGAGAAGATACAAATGCCTTAAACAGATGAGAAGACAAATGAGAGGTTTGTTTAAATCCTAAACATTAAGTCTCCTTTTATAGGAAAAAGTTTTCCACCAACTCCTTAACCCACCGATGTGGGATGGAAATTTGACATAATTCAACAAATCTCCACC